TCCACATTTTCTCTTCTTCTTTAATCGTATGATTTATTGCCTTTTCCCAGTTTTCAGGCTTCACATTATTTACAGCCTCCAAAAACAACTGTTTAACATCACTCATTTTAAAAGAATTATTTTTTCAGTTCAATCGGGTTTACTTCGCAATGATATGGTGGTGATCTAACCACCGTCATCCCACGATTTTTTGCAATTTCATCAATTTCATATTTTTTTATTTTTTCTTTATGAAGGGAGCACAAATGATACAGTTCTTTTCTCACAGAACCGGGAAGGAACTTAATATTCTTTGAATTTAGCCAATTCTGTAAATCTTTTTTTAACCACTTGGTTGTGGGCATTTTTTCTATAAGTCTCGAGTGATAACTTGCATTATCCATTACTATTATACAGTTCTGAGGAAAAAGATCTATAATTTGTTCGAACCACTCTTTAAAGACATCAGCATTCATGTCCTCATGGTAGTCACCGGTACGAGTAGATTCAAAAGTCAATAAACCACCTTTAACAAAACCGTTTGAACTACCGATGTGTACTATTATTAGTCTGCGCCCCTTTCCTGATGGTGGATTTAAACCAGTAGATAAATTATTTAAAAAAGCCTGTCTTCGACTTGTAATAGTTTCATCTTGCCAAAATTTATTTGGTTTATGTCCCTCGTTGATCCATGTTTCATCTAAATAAAATATATTTCTTCTTTGGTTTCTCATTTCTTTTATAGTCCTTAGGTAATTTCTTCTCCATACTACAATATCGCTTCTTTCTATTAAAATAGACTTTCTGGAATGCTTTTACCATAGAAAACCTATTTCTTTTAAAAGTTTCCATCTCATCTCGAACCGTGGCAAGAACTTTGTCTACTGTCGGAAATTCTTTTCTAAAGAAGAACGCATGCACTTTCCTTCGAAGTCTTTCTTTCAAAAGATTTTCTAATTGAAATTTTGGTTTTCCTGGAGCTTTACGTGCTGTTTGAAACTCGCCACATTTCTCTTCTTTAATAATTCTGTAAATCGTAGATTTCCCAACACCAAGCGTACTGCTAACTAATTCCACTGTGTCATCAACACTTTTACATAAATGTTTGTCTGTAAATGATTTAAAACAATTAAATATTAATGTTTTTTCATTAACTGTTAAAGGACCGATTTTTTGTCGTTTACGCGGCCCTTCCAAATTTTCCATGATCACACTAGAATTCACACTGAACCTTGCAAATTGCAACTAAACGACATTTAGTAAACTGTCAAGAATACACAACTTGGACTTCCTTACTAAATGGAAAACCTATAATCGCATTTTCGGTGAAATTTGTTGGGAAGGTATTTATCTACTTATAATTCGATTACTGTAAAAAATTCTTGGAATTAAAATAAAACAAAATTGGCAAATAGGTACTTATTGAAAATAATCTTAAGATACGGCTATGTAATCTTTAATACACAGGGCTTTTGGCCTGTCCAAACCTTTTTCTATTGTTCTGTGCAGCTTATGTTTATAAAGGACCAATAAAAGACCCAAAACTTGTAATAGCTCAGGTACATTTATTACAATTTTAGGAAATATTTAGATTATTCTGTAAAAATATTTAAAATGACCGTACTAAGTTTTTCATTAGAAATGCTGTTTTATTACTCTCTCATACATAAAAATAGACTATAGTTTAGAACCAGTGTTGCCAAACTGAAGAAACCAGTAGCGCAAAACTCCAGCAATTTTTGATCAAAAAGCGCAACTTTATTACCAACATAAAAAAGCCAAAATAATGGCCTCAATTTTAATTTAAAAACACAAAATAGAGGATAAAGTTTTATGGTAATTCACAAGTAATCACTCTATATTCAATACGTTTTTGACATATAAATTTTCTTGAAAGGGCATTTGTCTGTTTTGACTACACAGAAACAAATTCATGCTCAATTTAAGAAAAAAATAAGCATTGTCGGGCTTGTTTTTGAGCCAAGCATGTCACAATCTTTATTTGTTTTGAAATTAACAATGTTGGTGCTTATTTATAGCTTTTGATTCAAAAATTGAACAGGGCAATATTAATTTAATAATACCAGGATTCAAATAAAGAATATTTTACTTCAATTAAGAATTAAGAGTCATGCTGAATTTAAAATACATATTCTTAGTTACATATTTAGACAAATTTCTCTGTGTATCAAAATTTTTTATTTATGAAAGTAACAAGGAAAAATACAAAATGTTATTACCAGTCGCCTTTGCAAGTAAAAATCGTAAAAAAGGCGCAAAAAAGTGGAGGGCGCAATAAAATCGCAAAAGTTGCGCTTTTTGTGTCTAATTGGCAACACTGTTTAGAACATTTTCCGTATTTATTACGGCTTAAATTTAATTACCTTTGGTCGAAATCATATATACCCCGAGCACTACATATGTGTCTTTGCCTCGAACGAACGATAATTTTTTACTATTTTCTAAACACAAAAAATGGTACACGAACATCTGTTTCGGCGTCTGTAGATTCGTGGGAAACTGTTTTTAGAATTTAGTGCGTGCTTGTAACCTATTATATTATACTCTTTTCTGTTAATAAATGTCCAGATTACTTATTTCCGCTACTTTGAGATTTATTTACGGTTTAATTCCGCCTTTAAAATAAATAGTAATTATCGTACATAATACATATTATTATAATGCTTGTTTCGCTTGCTGATCATAAACAATTTATACGATTTTAAATGTTGCTTTAATTATAATTGACGAAATGCAGTGTTAATGAATGACTGTTTTTATAAACTTTATTGCAAAGATGAGACACTGAGACACTACATTCGTGGCTTAAAAATATAGGCATGACCTCGTTCCTTTAAACTAGAGTGTTCACGTTGTTGCCAATAATTGTATTTCATGATGAATACTGTTTTTGATGTACCAGAAAATTTCCCAAAATGATTTAAGAAGGAATATTCCTTAAACACATATACTACCATAAAAATTCAATAAACTCTGCTCAAGAAAGTTGAATTAAATATAGTCTAAGATCCGAAGTAAGGTCGACCTTCATCCATCTGTTTAATGGATGAAAGTTTCTTTTTATTACATAAAATATATTTATAAATATACCGCAAATGGGTTGCCTAAGAAAATATGGTCCAGACTATTATTTTTCTTAAAGTAAAAAAAAACGACACCCTGTAAAGTATTCCCCAGATGCTTCAACTATGCACAAACTTTAATCAGCTCACCGCAGGATGGATTAAAACTTTCAAATTTGGTGTTTTTCTCTTTATCCGTTTTTGAGTTGTCTTCAAAATTCGAAATTTGCACTTTTCCTCAAATATCTCGAATTAGATCCATTTTAGGAAAATCATGTATGGGAACAAAATAATAGATAATGACATCATAAACAACTTTTATCATGATTTTTATAGTTTCCTTATCTGTATACAGAAAGGAAAGTAAAAAATGGCTGTGACCGTATTTTCTTAGGCAACCCATTTGCGGTATATTTAAAAACATATTTTATTTAATAAAAAATAAGTTTTATCCATTAAACAGATGGGTGAAGGTCGACCCTACTTACGGATCCTGGACTAATACTTTTATTTTGAAATATTCATTTTAGTCCGATATCTTTGTAGATATTTTGTTCATATAAAGCACAACACTGTTCTCGCGAAAAATGTGATCTTTGTCATATATCTTGCAAACGAGTGAAGCAACACTACTGTGCATGAATGAAGGCAAATGACAAATGACTGCTTACTACACATTTTTACGCTCTTCTACCTGGATTCCTATTCTCTAACTCATGGGAGCACTCCCATACTCCCATGCCAACGTTGCCAAGTCGACAGAATAACTTGTGATCTACTATTTAAGTAGTTCAAATTTGCTTTGTGATAAATTGGCACTGGCGAATGAAAATACAAATAACAGTCCTTCTGTTTATACATTTTAACTTCACGCGATTATTTAATGGTATTTTTTTTATTTTGACAGAATCGGTTAATTATTTAAAGACAACTTATTAAACTTAAACAACTTCTTATACATTTTCCCGTAAATACCGTTGCCTGCCTATATTTTATTATTGATTTTTATTGATTATACTTGGTTTAATAATTAATAATAATAATTAATGTTTCACTTGTTTTACAAATGCATATACTTTTATTAAAACTAACATATATACTTTTTAATTACGAATTATATTAAAAATTGTATTGTCAGTATACGCAAAAATAGCCCATTAGTACATAAATTAATAAGCACTGCTGTCACGCACGGAGCGAATAAAGCTTTATAAGAACATTTGATAGATACATTATGGAAAAGTTCAGTGGCGTACAAAACTTTTTTAGGGAGTCTCACTAAGGAAATATAATACAAACTTGTTTTTTTTACATTTTTCGTTTCCATTTCGGCTAATATGACATATTAAATATCTATTTTCAGTAGTTTGAATTACAGGGCAAATAAAATGTTAATCATTGATATAACATTAAAGACACTTAAAAAATAATATACAGGGTAACACAGTTTAACATTTTGTTATGAGGATACTAATCCGTGACAGTTTAATGTTTTATTTATCAAAAATAAAATCAGTAACTTAAAAAGAAAGAAAAAAATTGTTTATTGTTGGTTCGAAGTGTATTATTATTTTTAAATTACCAATTCCATTTTTTGTAAATAAAATTATCATGAAATAAAACACCCTGTGGTTTTATTACTTTTTCGTTTCCATTTCTAATTATGTTTGACCCGATATTCTATTTCGTTTACCTAAGTAAGAATGTTCATTTTATCAAGTAGGTTTTGGTACTGTTAGCATGGAAAATAAAGAAAACCTGTGTTAAGCCGGGTTCACACCAAACCAACAAAAACCGTCAACCAAACAACAACACGCAATTTTTGGTTAACAGACAAAAAATGTCAACTGCTGTCCACATTAATTAGCCGATACGAAAACAACTAGTCGCACTTTGGGCAAAATTCAAAATGGTTGTAAAAGAATGTATGGTACTTACATAAACTTGTTCGGAATGAGAACGGTACTTTCTCAGACCGCCAGACGAGACGACGGCATCGTCCAACGAAGAGAACAAGTTGGAAGAATCGCCCTGTAGAAGCGGTTTCGCGATTTGCTGGACGCGCTGCGCCTTCCGCCTCAGGCCGCGCATCTCAGCCAGAAGGGCTTCATACTGAGACACCGGCAACGACATCACCAAAATCTATATTCTGAAACAAAAAAGATTATTTTATCTGAAAGATGTTTATAAAACAAAAGTTTTGACAACATATTTCAAATCTGAAGAATAATTTGGCAACATTGCGTCCTTCTAAATGCGCTATGTTAGTGTGACTTCAGTGAGCCAAACAAAAACAAACCATTCTGTCATTCATTTAAACATAAATGTTTTCAGCTTTTTGTTACTATATTATACTGTTTGAAGGTTGTAGAAAAATAGTTTAGAGGTATGCAATTAAATTATTTATATCACAGTTATTGCTGGTATGCTTTTAGATGAATAAAATCTTAAAAATGATAGAAATAAAATTTAAATTGACACTTAACCTCTATTAAAATGTCATTTACTCACTTTGAGAATATATTTTAATCACTTTAATGACATAATAATAGTAGTTATTTAGTTTAACAACTTTGGTTCGCTCATCTTTTACGTCATCACTAAAAATAATATTTATTCGGCTTTGAGACATACATATTTACTACTCACATAAAAGAAAAAGACAAAATTAGAGATATAAAAGAAAAATGCAAGAAAGACTCACAAAATAATCCAAAAGTAATAAGTGCTGTTCAGAGCTGGGGAGGATTCGAATCACATAGGATTCGAATCCTTTTTGAGGATCCGAGAGCGGGATTCGAATACTATAGAAAAAAGGATCCGTGATCCGGATTCGCAGAGAAAATCCTAAAGGATTCGTATGCGAATCATCAATATCAGTCTCGGATCCTTTTAGAGACCAAACTACGCCGGCGCGAACGGCCGACTCAAGCTTTGGCTTGTCACGAATTGTAAACTAAAAACTAAAACAGACTGAGACTGAATAGAAAACCAATGTATTTGGCGTTGTGCACGATTACAGAATTAACAAATAATCTGATATAGATGCTCAATACAGTTAAGTAAAAAAAAATCTGCATCCGCATCCACATCCACATGTATATTATTTATTTTTCTAATTTTTGCACGATATACAAAATAAATATGTGGGCGATATTAGTCTATTGAACGAATATAATATATAATTATATCCATTCTATGTTTTCTATCAATTACAATTAATTCATTACTTTATGTCAAGTTGACTATTTTTTTTATTATTTAAAATGAGTTTTAGTTATTAATATAAAATATAATTAAAAATTAGTGATTCTTGGTAAAAATCGATAAATAACGGCAATCAACTAGAGTTTTTTTATATTTACAAGGAAACTTAAGTAAAGTTTAAACAATTTTATACTTATACGAGTATGTAGTCAGTAGAACGCGTCACTTAGGTAATCGCCTATATGATAAATGTGACAGCCAGCTTCGTTTTTCAGCTTCAAGTTTTAAATGTTTTTATTTATTTATTTACGGGTCAAAACTCATTTTACAGAATTGTATAACAAAGTTCCTTAACAAATATAAGACAATTGGCAGCATTACAACGAGTTATAAATAATAATATACACGGCAGTGGCGTAACTACCATAAGACAAGTATTGCAAATATTTGAAGCCTAATATTTAAGTTTTTTTATTAAACTCTCGAGAATTTATAATAATTTGCAACTTAATTACTACTTAGTTTAAATTGAAACTTGATTCTCTTTAATAAAAAGAAATATTATGTTGTCATATGTAAAATAAATGAAAAAAATTGAGGGCCGTTGTTTTATTTTTAATTAGCATTTGTGATTTGTAACTGAAATCTTTATGTATTTTGCATTGAAAATCAGAGGAAACAAACCAACTTACTTTAAAATTTATCAGTAATAAAGTGTTTCATTCCACGAAAAATCTTATTAAGGGCCTCCTGGATATTACTGTAAATTTGAGATGCGACCAATAACCAAAACAACGACGATTTATATGTTTTAATTTTATGTATATATGTTAAAGGTAGTAAATTTTATTACTTATTACTTTTTTTTTATTGTATTTTTAAATTATTATTTGTAAAGGGTTTCCTATTTCAAATAAATATCTATCTTGTACTATAAGCTTGAGTAGATTTAAACTCTTCAAAATCATGAGTATTTTTAAACAAAAATGTAATGCACTTAAATATGTATAATGCAGGAATTGTAATCATATAGTCTAAGATCTGAAGTAAGGTCGACCTTCACCCATATGTTTAATGGATGAAAGTATGTATTAAATAAAATGTGTTTATAAATATACCGCAAATGGGTTGCCTAAGAAAATACGGTCCAGACTATTTATTTTCTAAAAGTAAAAAAAACGACACCCTGTAAAGTATTCTCCAGATGCTTTGACTATACCTAAACTTTAATCAGCTCACCTTAGGATGGATTGAAGCTTAAGTTTAAAATTTGGTGTCTTTCTCTTTATCCGTTTTTAAGTTATCTTCAAAATTCGAAATTTGCACTTTTCCTCAAATATCTCGAATTAGGTCCATTTTAGGGAAATCATGTATAGGAACAAAATAATAGAGAATGACATCATAAGCAACTTTTATCATGATTCCTATACTTTCCTTATCTGTACACAGAAAGGAAAGTAAAAAATGGCCGTGACCGTATTTTCATAGGCAACCTATTTGCGGTATATTTAAATACATATTTTATTTAATAAAAAAAAAAACTTTTATCCATTAAACAGATGGGTGAAGGTCGACACTACTTACGGATCCCGGACTAATACTTAAGGATTTAAAATGTGTTCTATAAGACTCGGCAAAACATTTTTTTTTTGTTATACGGATAACTCGTTTTTGTATCCTCAAAATATCTGTAGCATCAGTGCTTGACCCCCATAGCAGAATACCATATGTGGCACTCAAGTAGAAGTTAGAAAAATAAAAATGTTTTTGGCCATGTTGTTATCATTTTTGTGATAATCCTCAACCCATAGCAAGTTTTATTTAACTGCTTAGAAAGAGAGTCTCGATGTAAAAATAAATTTAATGATTCGTCAAGATAGATTCTATAGCATTCTGTGAAAACAATTATTTAACATATCAGTCACTACTTTGTTAAAAATCCAAATTCTGTCAACAAGTGTCAATGTCATTTGTGAACTCGTGAACTGTCACTGTCATTATAGATCTTTTCCTTTGCATCGAAAGTGTAGCATTGAGCTACGCTATTTCTGAAAATATTGTTCCATCCATATAATTTGTATAAATGGAACGATATTTAAATCTAAAAAAAAATTACAAACGCCGGATTTAGTGATAAATAATTCAAAATTGTGATGACAAATTATTTCAATTTTTGTTATTAAACATACAAAACTATTACTTGACATTTTTAAATTGCCAAAAATATCTTTATTTGCTTTTTTTGTATAATAACAATACATGGAGCTTATATCCAAGTCTTCGTGTGTTAAGGCATATTGTGTACATACATCGCAACGTTGAATTTTAAGACATTTTTTTATTAAAAATCCGCATATATAATAAAATTTTCTTAAAAAATATTAATATTTTGTGCATGCAATTCATTAATATGCTTGTTTATATTTACAATTTCGACAATATTGCCACCATTACACGCGATTTTGGAAAATGGCTCATCCTTACTAGTCCTACGAATTTCATGTAGCCTTACAAGTAAAGCATCCCCACCTGTTTCGCAGTTTTCAGTTCCAGAATGTAATAAATTTAAACATTGCAATTTTTTGAACATCCTTTGAATTTCGACCGATGTAGGGTTTACACAGTTACCATCATGGAGGAAGGATAATTAAGAGTTGCAGATTCCTCACAGAAATTTGGCAGCATGTTTACCTTCAGCGACATATGGAATAGTTTTGTGCAATTAATACTCAGTCGGTAATATAGAAAGATGTAATGTTATTTTAGTTTAAAAATTGGCGGGTTTTTGAATTTACTTCGACAAAATATAAGAATTTTACATTTTTAATAACATTGCTTAAAACGCATGATTTTGATTGTATGTGACTGATTACTAATTTACTACTTATAATTTCTTTAATGGCTAATTAAGATTTTCTTGCTTTTTGTAATGAAAATACTTTAGATTTATCAAGATTATAAAGCTTTGTTATTCGCATATCTAGAATAATTATCAAAATGAATATCAGAATTAAATTTTTGTTAAGCATTTCAATATTTGGGAATAACACAATTACGATTAATATTCATTTTTTTTTTTCAGTTAAAAAGTTAACAAATTAACACTGGAAAACAACTACTATATAAAAAGTGTCAAAAAATATCTATAATTCTAAAAAAATAACAATAACTACATAATACAAACATCACAAACAAAATAAATTTAAGATACACGCTACTGATTCCGTGCTAGAACAGAAGTAAAAGTTGGAAATGCTTTTGCCAGTTCTCCCACTTTATACACATAAATTGACAGGTTGGCACCGGATCTCACCGAAGTGGACGCGATACATTGGCGTACAAAATTATTTTATAGATGTTAATAACAATTTCGAGTAAATAGTTTAATAAATTGTGAATAGCTGCTGAAATTTTGTAAAATTATAATTTGAATATTATAATACATGTTTAATAATTATTTATAATCCATTAATACATGCGATTGTCCGGTTCCGCCGATAACAATTTAAAATTACTTATTCTATGGAACGACACTGGAAGGTAAACATTACTGTGAAATTCTCGGAGCCGCCCGACGTGGTTTGACGTTTACCCCCTCTCTACCTACCAAAAGACTTTTCAACTTTTACTTTCTCTATACTGCAACTTGTTTGTTTTTGTCGATATAAACGACGACAGTGACGCCACTGGCTTGATTGAGAGGTTGGACCCCAAAATGGCGGTGTGCGCGTAGATGTGCGCGTAGCGTTGCCGCCAAGACAAGTTAGCCTGCCGATTGTTTATTATGCCGTGTTACAACTGTGAAGACTAGAGATCAGGAGGTGAATCGGCATACTCAAAATACGGTCCCAAAAAACGCTCGCTAATTGAGCTTTTATAATTATCCGCATGGGCGCTGGTACTGCTTACGGTGTTCAAAATACATGGCTTCGTATGGGAATT